CGCTGAGACATTGCTTAATAAGAGAGATTTTTAGATGGAACAGAATTAAGTAGGAACAGTGTTGCGTGTAAGTAAGTGGCCTAAGCAAATTTAAAATTATACGAGGGGCGTCATGGATAATAGGCAGCTTTTTCATTCCTATTCAGAGTCAGTCCAGGAAGTTGTGAAAAAAAGTGAAATTGGGCTTTGAAGCGATTAAAGGGCCATTCATTGGCTTCATTTTATTTATTTATAATTTATTTCGCGTATTTCCTGGAAAGAAATACCCTGAAATTACTTTATCCGGGAAATGCTGTGCAGTTAAACGCATTCATTTTACCAGGAACCGAGTGAGGAAATACAGCTTGAAGTGCTGCGGTATACACGTCTTGCGTATCGCGTCTGGAAATGATATTGAGTCGACTTTATGTTTTTTAATGTTATATATATGCATTAAATTACTGCTGTATTGAACCCCGTAGTCTCATTATTTTATCTGGAGTTAATTTTGTTCAAGGGAAAATAAATATAAATTATAAAAAATAAGAATTCAAAATTAAATTAATTATCATGCTGCCGTTTTTGTAGCTGTTAATTAATTTTTATTCTTCCCATAAATTCCCTCGTGTACTGAATTTAGCAGTAGGGGGTCAAGAGAGGGTCAATCGACAGTCGTTTAGCTGCTGAAATAAATAGACAGTACGCCAAAAGTTTATCCTTTATCGTTCCAAATTTCCATGACGCGGTCGCTTATCCACTGCTGCGGTTGCCCTGGCGTGGCAGGGTGGCCAGCCTCCAGGCTTTGGGGGAGATCAGTGCCGCTTCAGCTCTCGTGAGGAAAGTGTGTGTGCCATGCATGATTACAGTCATCGTCCTAATTATCCTGGATCTCTCTCCCGGTAAAGTTTGATTGCAGCATTCTACTCATCTTCGCCACGTGTAGGTTTGCCTTTCGTACATTCGTTGCGTTGCATCTACTGATGAGGCAATACCGAAAGCTAGATGAACGTGTTTTGCTCTTTATATAACATCCACATAAACAAGGTCCAAGTTCCAAAGGATTTAAAAGTCAGTAAATGGCGGTAGGAACATAATATACGTTATTTTATACTCCTCTACGCTACTTGTTCCAAGACGTGTTCAACTTTCACCGTGGATTTCATCACTGCTGACGGTGAACCCGTCCCAAAGTAAACATAACTTTCTGATTAATTTGTCCTAGTTTAGGATTAGAAAACTATTCCAAAAGCACTTAAATTACCTGAAGCTAAGATCTCTTTTCGATATGGCCTCAAATTGACGAAGGAGATGACTAAGTCTAGTGCGTAATGAAGAAGGGAATAAGGCCACACAGATGACCAACGGTGCTCCATCTCTGACTCCGTATGCGAGACTAAACCCACGTGATCGACAGCTGCTTCCTCAGGTCAGTCAGTATCTTACTTAGGCTAATTAGAAGTCATTAAATAATTAGTATAATTAGTTGTAGTTTATTCGATGTCTTGATTTCATGTTGGTTTAGGTCAACATCATTTTCTTTGATCGCAAATATCGCGCCACTAAATTTAACTTCTCGATTAAACTTTAATAATACGTTTCCCAGGCTTATTTTTTTTACTTTAGAACTTATGTCGATGAATAAAACACTAATAAAATTTTTTGGCAGAAACAGGTTAAGTTGATTTTTTTAATGAAGACAACAGAATCCGCTGCAACTCTGATGTTCTGAATAAAATCTAAGGTGCGTCACTGCCATCTTTGGAGAATGAATGGGTGAGAGGTGACAATTGATGCACAGATTGAAATGCTCCCAGCTATGTCCACGTGCTTGCCGGAAATCGTCACTATGTACATGAACACGAATTTTATTGATTTTTTTCTTCATAATTTAAAAAAAACTTACTGGTGTTGATTTTTAATTTAAAGTTGTATTTTTTGGCGATGAATGGTCCGATACACAAATATAATTATAGTGCGTTTCGTGATCATGATTGTCTGCTGGTAAGGTGAATTGAGTGGTAAACAATTCGAGTGATAAAATTTAATACCTTTAATGCGTATTATATCATTCAAAAAAGTAATCGAAAGTCGACTTCATCTTTACTTAGAGCCACAATATTTGCCTTATAACGTGTTTCGTTTTCAAACCTGGTTAGTAATTTTGTTTTTAATTTTAAAGCGTCTTACATAAGCAACAGGCCATACGCAAAACATGTTTTTAACCCGCATAAAAAAACCAAAGTTAGCCGAACGTACTTGCCTGATACCACCAACTGTATTTTTGCGCGTACCACGTTTTTGCAAGCTCCAACGCGATTTCTTCATTTCACCGTTGTTTATAATGACTTACGTCTTTACCTGCAGCCTTAAGGCCCATGGGAGACAACTAGCGAGAAAGCTTTGATGTGTCGAGACGGGGGGGATATTCTCGGAAATGTGCTGCATTTCGTGCCTCTTTAATCAATCGCCACCAAAAAACTGGTCGTCTAACGAGGGCAGTCGTCGAATGCTTGCGATTGAGTTGATCGAATGTCAGGTTTTCAACGTACCGTAGCCACTCATCATCTAGGCTTATGGGACCATACTTTCAAAACTCGCTATGTGAACTTAAGTAATTACGCTCTATTTTCTAGTCTGTGATTGGTGGATTTTGCCTGAATGGCCGTCAATGGTTGGCTGATGAACTTACGATCTCTTAACTTTTTTTGAAAGTATGGCCCCAGGTCCGGGCTCCAAGAAATCCCATATTTTAGTGTCATTTAGTTTCAAGTACACAAGATGTTACTTACATGAGTACCGAATAACACAACTTTGAATATTTGGATGAATTACTTCAAGGAAGAATACTGAGATGGATTACTTCAATGAGTATGGAATAATATCGCATTCAATACTATGATGAATTACTTCAATAAGTACAGAACAATAATGCATTCAATACTACGATAGATTACTTCAATGACAGAATAATACACGATTTTAGACTGGATGACTAGTATTCCTGTAAATGTTCTCTACAATAATTAAAAAATACATACATAGTTAAAATGGCAGCAGTAACTTGGCCTTAGTGTTTTGAGTTTTCCCCACGTCTCCCTAGAGTCATACTTTTTTCCATATCTTGCGCACGACTTTTATCATTTTGCAGAGGGACTTTCCAAATTCTGGCGTTTGGGGCGCTTGGGATTCTACCAGACAGAACTTATATGGTGAATGTGACCGTCTTCTACCTCCTGGGATACGTCCGGGCTGAATGAAAACGAAATATACTCAGTATGACGGATGCCGGTAGACCGAATTAAAAGAAGAGTTTTTCTTAAATGACGTCAATGACTTGATGGATTTGAAGGCTTCTAAGAAACTATTTTCAAATTGGGGTCTAAGACCAATTAGGACAGCATGTTAGCATTTACACTTCGCTCTTAATATTAGTCGGGTAGTTTCCGGTTTTCACTTCGCGTTAATTAAACTGGTGAAAAAAGTAGGGCATAAATAGTGCATATTTCATTTGTTTTAAATTTTCAACGGTGTAATTTCACGGTTGATTATAACTGAACTCTGAAAAGAGTCAAAAGGATTTTTTCCAGTGTTGTCATCAAAATATGGTGTTATCAACACGTGAATCGTTTCTTGTCAACACTGGCATTGCTCAGCAAGAAACCGCATAGTCAAGCACACCGGATGGATCTGTGTTAATCTGCACTATTTTTCACCCTGCTAAAAAATATGCGTACTTCCAGATGCTTCATTTTTGCAGAAGAATTTTCTTCTGCAATTAATTAATTAATTTTCTTAGTTAAATTAATTAATTTTCTTAGTGCGTTAATAATAGCAGTTTTGTGGGTGCTACTTTCCATTTAGAAAATCTTTCGGAAGAATTGTGACAATCAGTGAAAGATGTTTATGAATTCATTTCGGTTTTTCGGTCGAACGAAATTCAACAGTCTTCAATTTACATGTTTCGTGATTGATCATATCGAGGAAAATTTTGTGTTAGAAATTTCGAATTTATACAATTATTTTGATTTTAGTTCATATAGATTGATGATGAGGTTCGATGATTCGTAATCGAGTGTAACAGAATATCTAATAAAACAATTTGTGAGTTAATCCTCGCGATTGCCGCTGGAATTTTTCGCTTGCATCCTCCTTATCGGGAAATTTTCTGCGTTTTTAGACCACAAACCGGACGGCTAGCGGCAGTAACTGTAGGGCAACTGAGAAGTTCAACAGGTTGCAGCCAGTGATCGTACCTCGTCGTCCTTGCGGTGGACAGCATTTAGTTTGTTGTGCCCTCGTTTGTAATTCTTGAAGATGTTGAAATGTAAAATTAATTTGGTTTTCATTTCTTTTGAGACAATATTACCGTTATTATCTTGAAGCAGTTGAAATGTAAAATTCATTTGGTTTTCATTTCTTATTGAGACAATATTACCGTTATTATCTTGAAGCAGTTGAAATGTAAAATTCATTTGGTTTTCATTTCTTTTGAGACAATATTACCATTATTATCCTGAAGCAGAAAGAAATGTAAAATTCATTTAGTTTTCATTTCTAATAAGAAAATACTGCCGCTATGCAGAACTTATTGTGCTGTTAAAAGTTATTCTATAAACTCCGCCGTTTTCGCTGGACCAAAAAAATATTAGTAGGAACCGGGTTGTAGCTCGTTGTGCTTTCGATGATTTAATTATAAGATCACAGCTAGTATATGTGTACCTGTCTCTTATACACATCTAGATGTGTATAAGAGACAGCTCTGATGGTGTAACACCCAGCGAAACGATAGCGGCTGATCCCGAGATCGGTGCCTATCGATAGTGAGAGAGAAGCACCTTATAAGGCAGCTTTTAAGTGCGATTGAATAAGCGAAGTTCATTGACTCATGCAAGTGAGACCTTTAGCCTGTCTCTTATACACATCTAGATGTGTATAAGAGACAGGTGTTGTCCCGACAAAAACGATTGTTATACTTCACCCCCGATCGGAGGTTCGTTCTCCCTCCGGGCAGCTTACTGTCTTTTGTGGGGGAGATTTCTATCCCGTACGCGCGTGGCATGCCTCCTGGATACGCAAGTGCCACCAACCTCGAATTTCCCTTTCGGAGTGAGTTAGCCTTGAAGTCTCTGTTGTACGCAAGAGATTTATGAGATTAAGTCATAACTTGTTTTAGATAGTTTCCTATTCGAACAGAGTAAGAGCTTGTTTTAAATAGTTTCCTATTCGAACAGAGTAAGAGCTTGTTTTATTATAAGATGAGTTAGCCTTGAAGTCTCTGTTGTACGCAAGAGATTTATGAGATGAGTTAGCCTTGAAGTCTCTGTTGCACGCAAGAGATTTATGAGATGAGTTAGCCTTGAAGTCTCTGTTGTACGCAAGAGATTTATGAGATGAGTTAGCCTTGAAGTCTCTGTTGTACGCAAGAGATTTATGAGATTAAGTCATAACTTGTTATAGATAGTTTCATATTCGAACAGAGTAAGAGCTTGTTTCAAATAGTTTCCTATTTGAACAGAGTAAGAACTTGTTTTAGATAGTTTCCTATTTGAACAGAGTAAGAGCTTGTTTTAGATAGTTTCCTATTCGAACAGAGTAAGAGCTTGTTTTAGATAGTTTCCTATTCGAACAGAGTAAGAGCTTGTTTTAAATAGTTTCCTATTCGAACAGAGTAAGAACTTGTTTTATATTGTTTCCATTATTCAAACCGGTGAAGCGCAAAGAGATTGTGTTATCAACAGTATTGATTCTTGTAATCGTACACGCTCCTCTGTAGTTGAAGCAAATTTTGTATCTACGGTGATATTGATTATTTTAGAAACAAAATTTCGACTGCAATGTCTCCTCAACTTGGTAACTCTGGGAGCTAGATTTTGGTTTCGCGACCACTATTGATTGCAATCTTAATTTAACTTGAATCGGACGCGTTGAGCTAATTTAATTTATGATTTCATTTTGTTCCCTGATTGAAGTGGACTTGGACGCGCTGCAGTGGACTTCCTTACAGAATCCCTTCTTATATTTGCCTTTCGAAACTGAGGAAGAAGGAAAACGAAGGAAAAAGCGCCAACTGAAATATGGTGGTGGCAGGTTTGTACTAATACACTTTGGTAGAGCGCCAACTGAAGTATGGTAGTGGCCGGTTTGTGCTAATACAAGTGGCCGGTTTGTACTAATACAGACTTCGGTAAAGCGCCAACTGAAGTATGGTGGTGGCCGGTTTGTACTAAAACAGACTTCGGTAGAGCGCCAACTGAAGTATGGTAGTGGCCAGTTTGTACTAATACAGACTTCGGTAAAGTGCCAACTGAAGTATGGTGGTGGCAGGTTCGTACTAATACAGACTTCGGTAAAGCGCCAACTGAAGTATGGTGGTGGCAGGTTTGTACTAATAAAGACTTCGGTAAAGCGCCAACTGAAGTATGGTGGTGGCCGGTTTGTACTATATAATACAGACTTCGGTAAAAGTTTCTTCAATGATGGGGTGAATGTAGCGTCGAGGTGATAAACCTCGAGCTCTGTAATAACAGGGAGTCATGCTTGATGATATGCATTGCCAATATAACGACTGGCTAACTCCTCATTACCTTTAATGCGGTCCTGTAAGCTGTCTGTCAAGGAGTTTTTCCTAGAGGCTTCCATGCTAATTTATCGGGATATCATTGTAATTCACTGTATAATTCAGTATGAAAAAGCCTCAAACAACGGCCAGATGTTATTTCTACTAAAGTGCACCAAAAATTACTCTAGATAGTAAATGATAACATTGAAGTTCCGTCTAATATGAAAGTTAATATGAATATGAAGAAAATATTATTCCAAATAATTTAAAGTAGTATGATAAAAAAACAACTCATTGTGATTTCCCATCATGCCTATGAACTGTGCACAAATGCTATAGACTTGCTAATAATATTTTTGCATTAATTCGCAGAACTCTTTTATACCAAATGCTGGAGGACTTCATTAGTAATCTGGGTATGCAAGGACAGGCGTGTTTGCTACGAGCCATTTGTGAGACCCACGAGCTGCCCTTCTACGAACATGGCTTCTTCGGCGAAGTTGTCAGGCTAATACTAACGTAAGATTTATTTCTTACTTCTGTCGCATTAATTAGTGCTATTATATATATTAAAGTCATGATGTTTCTGTCATTCAGTCTTTATGTATGAATCGTAAAACGAAAGGTCGGCAAGTTTCTGTCATTCAGTCTTTTAATATGAATCGTAAAACGAAAGGTCGGCAAGTTTCTGTCATTCAGTCTTTATGTATGAATCGTAAAATGAAAGGCCGGTCGAACGACAGCTCAACTTTCTGTCTTCTTGATCATATTAGGTTCGACTCGTGCATTCGTTTAAAAATAAGCGTCATCGAAAATATTTATGATTTCAATTTCTTTTGAATCGCTTGCCTGGAAGAAGTTCCAATAACTCAATCATCGTTTTCATCTCAAGAGATGTCCAAGTTGATTTTCAACTGCTAATAATCATATTGCCTAGGAAGATGTGAAATTCCAGCAAACCATTTAATGTTGTTCGTGGAGTTCTCGCGCCAAACAAAGTTTTCTGTTACGCTATTAAAGTTTTCAATTGAATTTAAAACACAAATAAGTGTGAAAAATTGGTGATTGTAATACTGAATTATAATTTCATTAGATTACATTGTCATGGAAATTATATTTTGTATGCATGGCTAGCATACGTACGGTGTCTAGAGTTATATCACTTGAATTTAATGTTATGAATATAGACATTGTATTTTAGATACTAACTTTATTTACTTGAAAATTTAGCGCCAGCTTAGCCTACGATCTCCCCGAGTCGATGGACGTGTACGTCGAAGCTGAGAAGTTGGGTTCTCACTACCACAACTGCAGTAAATACGTGTCTGGATGCCCGCACACTCTTTACAGTGACCGCACTGGTCCTTTGCCGTGAGTACATAGTGTAATAAATTGTATTGTGTTGTAATAAATACAGCTTACACTGTATTTATTACACTGATACTGTGTTGTAATAAATACAGCTTAAATAACACCAATTTTACATCGTTAAATGAATGGTAATGTACTCTTTTGTGGAAATAGTTCTTCATCTTAAATCATATGTGCTAACAGTCACCTTTTGAAGGAAGTGTGAAGTGTTATTAAATATTATTAGAATGCCTTTCCTTCGCAGGAAAGGCATTCTACTATGCCCATCAATCTAACGTTCCCACTGAAAATATAGTTTTTTATAAAACACTAATCGGTAATGAGAAAAATTATAGTAGAACTATTTTCCTTCCAAAGGAAGCGGAACGACTCTCAGAGGGAAGGCCGTTTCCTTTATTTTACTGCGGACCGCCGTCTGACGATGCCGTATGGCACAGAAGGTGTTGTCTATGTCTCGCTGGGCATCAATAATTGGAGGGGTGCATACCAGGGCACAGCCGTCTCCATGTCCATCACCACCACGCTCGACTGTAAGTAATTAATCAATAACTGTATCATAATAATTAAAAAGTCTAACTCAGTACTCACTGCAGTGAGTGAAAGAGAGCGCATTTTCTCGTCGACGAAAACGTGAAGTCACGGACGGACAGACAGGCGGACGTGGCGAGCACAATAGTGCATTTTTTTCATATCATAAATGAGAAAATGCGTTGATAATGGGAACAATATCAATAAATGTTTATGAAATTTTTGCTTGTTCATGCTCTTAATGTGAATTATTCATTCAGTGAACTTCGATGAACTCGGGCTCGCCGCGGAAGACAATCCGTTTTTCGACCTCACACCTCTGGGGCTCGTGCGCAAGAAACGTGGAGCGCCTGACCATCTCCCACGCATCAACGTAGCGGGAGGAGATCGGTTAGTGTGAAAAAATGAATAATAACGCAATTTAAGAAACAAAACATAAATTTTTGGACGTAAATTGTTCTTCTAGATTTTTTCTAACGATAAAATTGTAACATTGTTTCGCATTTACAGCTTACTGTAACGCAACAGATTCCAATAATATATGTATAAATTTTATAGAGTTGCCGAAAAAAGAAATTGAGAAACGAGAACTTATTGTACTTTATAATGCACGTGTAGACTTTGGAAACCTTTTTTTTTTTTTTGTATCATCTGCATGCCGATATTAGACAGTTTTACGATTAATTTATACTATTTACAAATCATGAATGACAGAGAGCTCATGTATGTACCTCGCTGAGCATATCGTATCTACACAGTCGAACGTTTTCCTCACAATTTGTAATACTTAAGTGTTTACAAATCGTGCATGAAAGAGATGGTTTACGTACCTCGCTGCGTATCATACAAATTGATAGTTGTATGATACGCAGATTAATATGAATAATATTGTATGATTAATACAAATATTTAATAATATTTAAATGTTAACAAATCATGTATGACAGAGAGATCATGTACATACCTCGCTGCACAACATATATGCACGAATTTATTCGTACGTTTTCCTCACAATTATAATACTTAAATGTTAACAAATCATGTATGACAGAGAGATCATGTATCCTGCTGTTGAGAAATATATCGAGTCGTTCGACCTGAATGGCACAGCGTGTCTACTACGGGCTATTTGCGAGGCGCAAGAGAAACCCATCAGAAACTACAATGTCCTTGGTGAAATTATTGAAATATTCCTCAAGTAAGTTGCTGCCTTAACGTGAAATTAGGTAGAAAAATGTAAATTAAAACTTTTAACATATCAGTCTCATCATAAGTTTTGGACAAAATTATCAGTAGACGCTAGAGTTTCTGAAGTGTCTGAGTAAGCAGAAGATTTTAGTATATTTGACTTATTAACCCGGTAATAAAAATCAAAGCATTTCAGAATTTCAACATAGAGCATAGTTCTATTTTTCAATCATACTATAGTAATTCAAGCATGTATTTGCCCTAAAATTTTGCTGCCTTTAAATAACGAAGATGATATTGGGACGTGAACCTTATGGGCGCTAAATAGTTAGTTGTAAACATTCGGTTCTAAGATAGTACTACTTTTTACATATTGATCAATCACGAATTGTCCGTGCACTGATGTACTATTGGGCATAATACTTCTAGTATTATGCCCAAGTATTGGCATAATACTTCTAGTATTATGCCCAATAGGGAAATATATATTTATAATCTGATGGAGCATGAGTCCAGCGTTGCCTGGCGTTGATGATACCTGAGGTTTAATTATCCCGTCATTATGAATACAGTTTCTAATTTTTAAACATGAGCAATTTCAAAATGAGAAAGCCCTGTATAAATTCAACTGTAATATCACTTATTGAAACAAACTTTTTTCAAGACCATTTCCTTCTATTTTATGATGTCTCAGGATTCCTACACTAAATACAATGTTAGGCCTAGGTAGTATCCTGACATGCTAGGTAGTATCCTGCCATAGTATCCTGCAGATAGTTTACTAGATATGTTATTGATTTTCTAATTATGTCATATTTAGGCCGACTTGCACCCCACATACGTTATAATTTGAGTAGATTGTTTAACCAATACTTTATCGTACGGTATATAAGATTAGTTTAAAATATGATAATGATATTCACGTTATGTAATACTTAGACCGACTTGCACCCGACATGCGTTATAATATGAGTAGATTGTTTACCAATAGTTTATCGTACGGTATAGAAGACAGTTTAAAATATGATAAAAATATTCACGTTAAGTCATCTTTAGGCCAACTCGCGCTCTATATACATTAGAATTTGAGTAGATTGTTTTCCAATAGTTTATCGCACGGTATAGAAGATAGTTTAAAATATAATATTATTCACGTTATGTCATATTTAGGCCCACCCGCGCCCCCCACCCTGAAGAGCGACTCGAACCTTACGTGCGGGCTGAGCGAGCCGGGCGTCTGGACGGCGACTGCTCGCCTTACATCGCTCACTGCCACAAGTCTCTCTTTAGGGACGATCCTGACTTCTCCCTGCCTTTAACGTGAGAATGTCTTAGGAGACCAAATGTCATGCAAAATTTTCTATATTCTCTATAATGCACCTATGGTCGCAGGGATTCTTCGCCTGGTGTGAGGGATACTTGCTAATTAATTAAATATTATATCTTTATGAATTATATATAACAACGATGACGATGGCTTAGTATATTCATATAGTAAATCATAGAGCACGATCTTTCTATGGGATGAGAATGGTTAACCGTAATCAATTTCTGTAACCTGCTGATTACGGTGCTTTAAGTTCATGATAAGTTCCCTAACTTAATATTGAGAGAACTTTGTCGTCAAGTTGCAATTCCTAACAGCATTCACGCATTAAATATAGCAAACGAAATTATTCATCTGTGCATAATATCAAGAGTCGTCCGTAAATGCAAAATTTAATTGTTAAATTTAAGGACTACAGATCAACACCGTAGGTAATACACTTTATAAATTATTACCAATAAAAAGAGATTGCAATGAGTACATAAAGCGTATATTCATCACTGGTTAACCCTTAATGCTATTTTTCATTTTAGTTTGTTAGTATTTAATAATTACAACAAAACAAACAACTTCGAGTCGAGGCAAATCTATTTTCGTTACTCAGAAACAAACTGAAATTTCAAAGTATATAACGCTCTTCCAAAAAATATGTTGGTAATGAATCACAGTTCAATTTTTACAGGCCTGAGACGAAGGAACATTTCCGGGAATTCCTGAGTGAAGAGATGATGGCGCAGCTCGAAGCTATGTAATCTGACACTGACACTGACCTCACACTGACTCTGACTCCAGACCCTGACACTTTCCTCACACTGACACTGACATCAGGCACTGCCACTGACCTCAGACTCTGACACTGACCCCAGACCCTGACACTGACCTCACACTGACACTGGCCTCAGACACTGACCCCAAACACTGCCACTGACCTCAGACTCTGACACTGACCCCAGACCCTGACACTGACCGCACACTGACACTGACCCCATAAACTTACCGTAGACTCCCGAAGCATTGCTGATACTCCAGAGCTGCATCATGTAGGTTAGCATCTGCGCGTCTCGGTATGGATTCAACCTTACAGCAGCAACGCGTCAAGTTCTTCCAGCGCCAAGCCCGTACGTTGAACCAGAATGAGACGTCATTTAAATACATAATCGCACAGGCCCGTGTGTCACGATGTTTCTTGTGTGGTCGTATGTTCCCAATTGCCTCCCTTTAATCGTTCTTCTTCATGACCACAATGACATTGTGCAGAGCGTGCTTCTCTCAGTGTCATAAATGTGTTAGAGTTATGAGTTATTAAATGAGTCATAAATGTGTTAGAGTTATAGAGTTATTTTCAGTTCTTAAAAGACTCATAAGAAGCCTTACTGCAGCAAGTCGAAGTTATTTTGAGAATTTCGAATGTGCAATATCTGCCATGTTTTCCGTGTGCGAAATGAAGAATACAGACTCATGAGCTACCTATGAAGGGTTTGATAGTGTATGATCGTGCACTGTTAGAAAAAACGGTGAAAAAACGGTCCCACTGGCGTTCTAGTGGCCGGTCGCCCCGTGAAAATAAACTGTTTTACCGTTTTTATCAGATGTTTTACGGATTTCTAGTGTTAAATTAGAGTAAAAACGGCGAAACGGTCTTTTTTTCACGTGCCGACCGGCCACTGAAACGCCGGTATAATACCGTTAACGGTAATTTTTCTAACAGTGNCAGTGGCAACCTGAGGTGCAGGATAAATAGCAAACTCAAGCTTGCTCTTCTTGCCATAGTCGACGGAGAGTCTCTCCATGAGGAGGGAAGTAAAGCCTGATCCTGTGCCACCGCCAAACGAGTGGAAGATCAAGAAGCCCTGCAGCCCCGAGCAGTTGTCTGCCGACTTACGGATGCGGTCCAGCACGACGTCGACGATCTCCTTGCCGATGGTGTAGTGACCGCGCGCGTAGTTATTAGCGGCGTCCTCCTTGCCGGTGATGAGCTGTTCAGGGTGGAATAGCGCCTGTCTCTTATACACATCTAGATGTGTATAAGAGACAGCCCTCATGTTGCTCTTCAACAGTTGAGTGACGCGGTTGATCCGCTACCTCATGTTGCTCTTCAACAGCGTAGGGATATTACTAACATGTCGCCTTCTATTGTTTTGTTTTTCTACAGTGATCTTGACTTTGAGTGATACGAATGCCTCCTGTTACTCAGCATCTCTCCAGCACCATTTGTAATTCAGCAGTCAATTCACGTATGGAATTCGCCTTGCAACAAGGAATACAGGCGTTTGCTTAGCCCATGATGGTAGCCGATTGCATAGCCATTGCTGATGACGAAGAAAATAGTTAAATGGGAAACATGCATGCTTATGTGCGTTCTATAAATTTTAGACTTGTCACAAGTAGTGGGCTCAAAATCTTTAATAAAATTATAAGTAGCGTTCGTTTCCTAGGCTTTTAGATGAATGATATATAACATTGGTAAAAAACAAAGGAACTTGCAAAAACGAAATTTTTATGATATTTTAAGATCCTAGATTTTTTATTTCCACTGTTCATAGATCTCGTCGCCGCTGATGAAAAGAAATTTCTATTCATCGCAGAACTCATTCTCAGATGCTCTCTGGTAACTTCCATCAGGGTTTATTGCTTAATCTTTTCATAACTAATTTATATCTGCAGTCATTTTAACTTGTTGAGCACGAGCGAAGTTTCTACATTTCGTTCTGTTACTTCGCAATCTTTTTAAAACGTTTTCACCTAACTTACCTGTTGTTGAACTTCGATCCCAAAACATCGATCATCCCAACAGTTCAGAGCAGATAAATATAGAACAAGTAAGCATTTATATGGTGGATATTAATTTAATTTGTGATCCATGAGTTATTAACTCGAAAAAAGCTAGTGCGTTTACTGGCAGCTGTCATGTGTTCCTACAGCAGTCCTTCTCAAGCACGAACTTTGCCGATGTTCCGGAAGTTGTTTAACATTGGAAATTTGTGTAGAATTAAAAGCATTTTTGAAATTGTTCCTGCTTTGTTTCTCTCGGAGAAAGAAATGTCAGGAACAACTTCATATTAACTTCAGAACATTCACGAAATGTTGTAGTTTATAAGCATAAGCCGTAAAGTATTCATTTATTACAGTGTCAGCCTTGTTGACAAGGGCCATATTAATAAAAATAAGTGAGTGATTAAACCTGCAGTAATTTAAGTTGGAACTAGATCGATATTTGATTAATGTTTAAAAAGTAATTATTTTGAATTACGTTAATCGATTGAATTCATACTCTCCAGTTGAATCGTCAAATCTCTACTATGTACGTGCGCAGTGTAAACTAGTATTGAAGATTCGATAATATGTATTCCCATGGCGCTACTTAAGATCATTGTTAGCGCATTTTCTCATTTATGAAAAAATGCACTATTGTGCTCGCCATTTCCGTCCGTCCGTCTGTCTGTCCGTGACCTCAAGTTTTCGTCGACGAGAAAATGCGCTCTCTGTCACTCACTGCAGTGAGTACTGAGTTACATTTTTGTGATAATGTGTTCATTAGATACAGTCTCGTTTGACCCACGACAGAGTCTCTCTCAAGCTCATTCCCTCTGCCCGTTAAATAGCGTTAAACACTCTGATAAAAATGTTCCTGACATGGCATTTATGCAGATTACAACGTAGATAATTACACAATTAAAAATTGTTGTCTTCATACTTATTACTGGAAATAGGATCATTCCCTTTCGCTACCAATGTGAGTACCGTCGCTTAGTGATTATTTTCACAGGAAAACTAATGAAATGTTTTCACACATCACTTTTAATGGTACATGATTAACTTCATTGTTTAATCTATTACCTACAGGTACATGATTAACTTCGTAGTTAAATCTATTTCTGTTAAGGTAAAAAATTAAACGATGAGGTTACTGGGAAATAAAACGAAATTTCATGTTATTAGGCGCTTGTGCTTTGAATATTTCCAGAGAACCAACATACTCATAGGAGCATCAATCAACTAGGAATTCAAAGGCCAGATGCACCAAGAATTTCTGCTAAAAGCGATCACAAAATTTGAAAGTCGTAGCTATTATTAGCTAAGCTAGAAAACAATTTAATGTTACAGGCAAGTTTGATCCCATATCTTGGCACAAAAATTTTTCTATCATTACGCAACTGGAAATAAATCCGGTCGAAAACACTCGAACAGGTATAGAGTGTGTTCACTCGAACTGAATAGAGCGTGTGAGACTCTAAATACTATATTTGGCAATTAACGTGGTCGTTCAACAGTAGAATTTTTCTGATGTGAGGTATTCAGTTAAATAGCGTTTCTATACATGACTAGAGTGGCATCTTGAAAATACTGAAGCGGTGATGAATAACTTGAGATTTAATATTCCTGAGCTTCAACAGTAGAATTTTTATGATGTGAGGTATTGAGTTAAATAGCTTGGTCTATACATGACTAGAGTGGCATCCTGAAAATACTGAAGCGATGATGAATAACTTGGGATTTAATATTCCTGAGCTTCCTCTTCTTCTCCTTCGTTTTCTGCGGAGTCGAGACCGACTTCCTCGTAATCTTTTTCGAGGGCTGCAAGATCCTCGCGAGCTTCAGAAAACTCGCCTTCCTCCATGCCTTCACCTACGTACCTGCAGCAACCAAATACAAATCTTAAGAAAAGTCTAGTCAATTTTTTTTCTGCAATTCAATATAAACTTGCATGGATATAATTCGATTTGTGCTGTAAACGAGAGTCGATAGCATTAATGAATGATATTAAATAGGTATTCAATTACAATTGAAGCCATATTTACAATTTCATCTTAAACGTGCTTTACCGTAGGAGTTAAGATAAAGCTAAATTGCCGTTACAATAATAAACATGAATAATACTGTGAACAAATTTGCTAGTCGAAGGCTTAAATCTATGTCTATTTATTTTTTGCTTGCCATTAAAATTAAGTGTAACGTGCCTTCGAAGTTCGTTTGAAACAGAGGCCTCGATATCTGCTTCGTTGAATAATAATAATAAATGGAGGGTGGAATGTAGTTCGAAGCTTAGATAACTTTCTAAAAAATGTGAGAGAGGAGTTATAAACTAGGAGATGTATAAGAGAGGAGTTGTTAAGTTAGGTGATGCATAAGAGAGGAGTTGTGAAGTTCGGTGACGTATAAGAGAGGAGTTGTGAAGTTAGGTGATGTATAAGAGGAGTTGTGAAGTTAGGTGATGTATATGAGAGGAGTTGTTAAGTTAGGTGATGTATAAGAGAGGAGCCGCGAAGTTAGGTGATGTATAAGAGAGTTGTTAAGTTAGGTGATGCATAAGAGAGGAGTTGTGAGTTAGGTGATGTATAAGAGAGGACTTGTTAAGTTAGGTGATGTATAAGAGAGGAGTTGTTAAGTTAGGTGATGTATAAGAGAGGAGTTGTGAGTTAGGTGATGTACAAATAAGAGAGGAGTTGTGAGTTAGGTGATGTATAACATATAAGAGAGGAGTTGTTAAGTTAGGTGATGCATAAGAGAGGAGTTGTGAGTTAGGTGATGTATAAGAGAGGAGTTGTGAGTTAGGTGCTGCATAAGAGAGGAGCTGAAGTATTGTGCACTCACCAGTGGACGAAGGCCCTCTTGGCGTACATCAGGTCAAACTTGTGGTCCAGACGAGCCCAGGCCTCAGCGATGGCCGTGGTGTTGCTCAGCATGCACACGGCACGAGCGACCTTAGCAAGGTCTCCACCAGGTACCACAGTGGGCGGCTGGTAGTTAATGCCAACCTAGAAAATGAAATTGTATGAGATGGATGTTTATATGTGGTACATTTATAACATGTAACTTTGAGGACATTTATCAGCAAGAGGGATCGAATTGCACTTCTGAGACGGCAGCAGGTTAATGGTTATACACGAACATCTTTTAGCAATCTGTGAATATAATTTCCACGATCACGATACATTAATAACTTCCAATCTCTTTTATCAATAATCACGCATATCCACATTATGATACGTACAGCTTCAAGTAGCACAAGCAAACAACGAGAGAGTGAACATCCCTACTGTCTTGTTGCACATCATGGCGCATTTCACTGGAGTTCGTAACTATAAACGTACAGCACCACCACCCCAATAAAAATGCCTACCACAAACACATTACGGCGCATCGCAAGGGAAGCAACAACACCAAACGCGCAGCAACACAACTACCATTTCAAGGCCTAGCACCATACGACACACTTCAGTGAAAGCATTAGCACCAGACGAAATCTCGAGACATTCGACCCACCTTGAAGCCAGTGGGGCACCAGTCCACGAACTGAATAGAGCGCTTCGTCTTGATAGCGGCAATAGCAGCGTTAACGTCCTTAGGTACCACGTCACCGCGGAACAACAGGCAGCAAGCCATATACTTGCCGTGTCGTGGGTCACATTTGACCATCTATGGAGACAAGTGAACCATTACAAAGTGATTTTTAATTTTTTCATAAAGGTTACCTGAAAATATTGCAAATAATTATTCAGTTTTGTCTTGAAGTAATATATGCATCACCTGGTTGGCTGGTTCAAAGCAAGCGTTGCTGATCTCAGCCACAGAGAGTTGCTCATGGTAAGCCTTCTCAGCGGAAATGACTGGCGCGTAGGTCACCAGCGGGAAGTGGATGCGGGGGTAGGGCACAAGGTTCGTCTGGAACTCCGTCAGATCAACGTTCAGGGCGCCATCGAACCTGAAAATTAATCGTTAATTATGAATTAATGATGATTAACCAACAGGTTTATTTGGAACTCCGCAAGGTCGACATTCAGAGCGCCATCGAACCTGGCATGCGGATGAATAATTTGATAAAAGTTGTGGAGACCAAAAATATCTGCATTAAACGTGTCCACGATTTTTGACGAGCGCGCGACCCTTAACTAAATTTGCCGTCACTTCATCCTCAGGATTGGATCTATAATATCAATTAGACGGGAGTGAAAGAGTTTAAAGCACAACAAAATCAACAAAATGCCTATGAGCAAGAACTGCACCAAATGTATCAAAAATTTCCGATCAACACGCCTATGTG